ATTTCAAGGTAATTTAAGGTAATGAAACCAAACTTTAAAAAAGCGACCATGATAGGACAGTTTATAATTAAAGTTTGCAGATAAATATTTTTTTGAGTGCAGAAGGTGGTTTCATAGGCAAAAACTTTTTTAAATTATCAAATTTTTCAAAATAATGTTGATTTTTACGTTGCATCAAATTCAATGATCAAGGATCTGATTGGTGCACTTATGCCGATTTTTTATAGTCATAATAGGTTAAACCGATCTCGCAATGTATTTCGACATTATGATCATAGTAAAAGAGAATATTTTGAAGTTTATGTAATTCTCTCAATAGGTCGGCAGTAACACTATTTACCATTTTTTATTCTATTCATGGACATACATACGAGCGTACGTACTATACTCAGAAAGTAAGTCAAGTATCGGGTGTACAACCCTGAATAAAAACAGCTACAACATCATGTGGCATACACGATTGCGTATTATCGTGTGTCCGGTTTAATATGAAGTTTCTTGTTGGAATATCGGGGTGAAAGCTCTATTCTAAATTAAGGTTTGATTTTTACACTTTAGAAATAATTTTTTGGCATAAAAATAAAATAAAAATAAAGATACAATGTTAAACCTTTTTGTATTCTGGGAAATTATTTGTTTATCGTCCTTGTCGTCTAAACTAATAACAACAAATAATTATCCTGTGCTACGTCATGGGTTTTCCAGGCAGAGCACAATAATTTGTGTTGTACCACTGTTGTTTTAAATAAATGCGTACACACCCACGTACTATGTTAAAGGAATTTTAGATTAACCCATAGAACCTTTGAAAACTATAACTCGAAAATGAATATCAACAAGTTCAAAATAATAATATTATTACTTGGTCTCGTTACTACATGTCTTTCCACAATAACTGTCATAAATAAAACAGGTTATAAAATGCTTGTAGTAATAGACAATAAATCAAATTTTAAATTATTAGAAGATAGTGAAGTTTTTCACCAAAGTACCAAGACCTTGGCTAATTCACCAAAACATGAGGTTCTTGCTTTATTAGTCCCTAATGATTATACAGAATGGAGTTATCATTATGCTGAAACTTTGGATTATTTTGGTTTATGGCGCAAGGGTAAAGACGTTGTTAAATTAGGGAAAGATACTTATATGAATTATGAGGATTTAAAAAGTTTACCAATACATAAAAAGCAGTTAGCTATCCCACGCTTAGATAGTAAAGCAAATCATATTTTAGTTCTTCATGGTGGAATTCATGAACCGGTTGTACTTTATATTTGTAGAGAAGGAAAATATTATCCAAAATCTTCTGATAAGGAAATAAGACAAAAAAATAAATCGGATTATGTTAAAGGAAATGATATATGTAGCAATTTTGATACTAAACGATCCAGTGGGAAATATAAAATAGAAGAGATACAAAACGAAAACAACGAAATTAGGTATATTGAACTATAAAATTGACTTTTATCATTCTCTATAATACTGTAACAGATACGTATAAATACGTATAAAATAGCAATAATTCGTAAAAAGAAGGATCTTCAACTTCTTGGTAGATTTTGGTAATATTTTCATACTTTAATTGCTAGAAAAAAAACCTTTTTTTTTTATACACGAAATATAAAGTCATAGTTTTTTAATCTAATAACGAACAATAAAATTTATCCGGCATTTCATTGGCGTGGCGCATATCACGAAAAAATTTAAACCCATATCGATGTATCTTAATAACAAGTTATTGAACCAATTTTTAATTTTTAATTGTCTAAATCAATCTAATAATTACATATATAGAATTTGTTGATTACAATATTTTAAAACAAATATTAGTATTTATTCTAAGCTACTAAATAAACGATTTATCTGTTTTAAAAATGATCAGATTGACTGTTAAGTTCGTACACCACATTAATGAAAATAACTTTGGACTTTAAGTTTTATCATTTATTTATTGTACAGTATTTAATTTAACCTTTTAAAATTTTGATAGTAAAATATATGATCATATTGTATATGTGCTGAATCTGATAAATAATAAATGATAAACTTGAAAACCCAAATCTTATTTTCCTTTTTTCACATTCATAATACAGTCATAAAGGATATTCTTGAGCAACTCCTCAAAATGATTTGCTAGCAATCGAAATTATTTTGGTTTAGCGATTATTGTGGTTAATTGAAGAACGTTTAGCTAAAAATTTATTGTACATTATACGTACGTACGTACAAAATACGAACCTTAGATTTTAACTAATTAAAGTAATGTTACGTTCTCAAGCAGCCTTTCAATACGATTTGTTAGTGATAGGGATATTTCGAATAGTTGAAATTAATAGAAGTGATCCCCAAAAACTCATTGTGCGCAAATGCAGAAATGTGTTTTTTTTAAAATTTTATCAAATCAGATACATCTATAACATTTAATCACATGTAATATATATCATTGATCAGATTTTCACGAGCTGAATTTGATAAATAAAAAGTTTGAAAGTCCAAAGGTTCATTTATTTTTTTTATTTTGGTATTTTTTACATCCAATTAGCCATCATATCTTATACTATTATAGTTACATACGTATTATATCATTCATTAATCATTTTATCTACCAATACCGTCATTAGTTCTTATTTCATATGGGGTCTTATTCACCCGCGGAATATCATAGTCCCGCGTTATATTTTAGCAAAATCCCAATATGGTATGATCATGGATAAATTAGTCGCGCAACCAAAATTGGCAAAAAGTTTAGGTTGGAATGCATCGGAATTATGCTGGTATTAAACAATAATAATAACTAACTATATTATAGCAAAATTAACGTCTAGGCAATTTTATTTAGCGTGCGGATCATTGAATTATTAGTAAAATTTATCAATTCTCCATTCCGTCCCGGAATTGATCGATCAGCTGAATTTTGGTTGCGTGATCAATCGATTCCGGTTTACGACGTATCGAGTTACCTTAACAGTTAAGCACGGACATGCCGATGTGCTAGAGTAGCGATCCAGATGACTATATCCGGATTTACAGCAGTTTTCATAAATCTGGAACAAATGAAAAAATTGCCGATGACCGAATCGATAAGTTTCTGAGTTCGGCCGAAGTAGGTTACTTATTGATTCCGACTCGGTAACTTATAATAACATTCAAGATGAATATTTTGATATTGATCGATATTCCTTTTTAAAAATATCATTCTTTTAAAAAATTCTTGTTTTCTTTGATGTCATTAAGTTACCCGCACCACGTTCACTTTGGAACGGCTAGAAAAATTCTTGCCAATTTAGATAGTATTGAAAATTTCTTCGAATGTAATAACTTCAAAAGATTCATTAATTTCATTAGAGTCAGAAATGTTAGAACCGGAAATGTTTGTTAGAAGTAGATGTTTTTAACGAAAGTATTGGAGTAATGATCTATTATTTATCCGTAGTCACTGATAAATAACAATGATCTATTATTTATCCGTAGTCACTGATAAATAACAATGATCTATTATTTATACGTAGTTACTGATTAGTATTAAAAAATAATAATAATCCATTGTTTATATGTAGCCATTAATAATCTTATTAATACGTAGTCACTGATTAACATCAAAACGGATAACCGGATATCTGACAAATAATCCGAGTCTATCTGAGTATAATTATTTTTCGGATAGTTTATTTATAAATCCGCATAAGGTTGGAAAATTATTCGGATAGCTAGGATTTTAAGGCTACAGATCGCTACTCTATGGCGTGCCTAACGCTAACTACAAGTTTTTTTTTAAAAAAAAAACATTATTGAAAATTTTTTTAAGTAATAAAAGTTCTCGAATTAAGACTTTCTATTAAAAATTTTTTAAATTTTACAAGTTTACTAAAGCATAACAATGATGTTTAACATATAAACCTGTCAATTTTTTTTTTTTGAGAAAAAAAAAGTTCGCAAATAAATTGCAGATTCTCGATTTTTTGATTGGCGATAAAAAATTTTACGAATTAAATCACAGCAACCCATTAAGCGAAATTAGTTCCTGGACCATCGTGGAACGTTAAAGCCAGGTCTAGGAGTTAGGGCCTTTTTGATGCGGTTAGGTGGTTTTTATACATAGCGATAGCGATAGATATCAAGAATACAAAATTTAATCCGGAATATGTTAGACAATCAAAATCGAGAATCTGTCTTGGTATATCGTGATGCTTCACACGTAGTTGTATTCTATGTGGCCTTGAGTTTACCCACAATTCTTTATGGTAGTTTACTTATTTATTCAAACTCGTTATTGGATTAATCCTCTTTATCTTGTATAAATAGTCCGACACAAGAAGTTCATTGATTTTGAATCTTCGAATCTTAAAGTATACTAAATCGTTAGGAGAGAACTTGATTATCTGACAATGGTGAAATAATAATATTATACGCTGTGGCAGTGTCATCGATCATAAACCTGAACTTTCATAAGCGTTAAACAGTCTATAAACGAAAAATTATTTTCTTGATGCAAAAATACTTCTTAACTATAACCTTTATTTATCCTTGACTTTTTTATTTACAAAAATTTGCTACATTTAAAAAAGATATATCAAAAATTAAAATGGATGACGTAATAAATCATCAAAAATGTTTAAAGCAAAAATATTCGCCAAAAATATACATATCTAATTTAATTCGTTCAATAACCCCAAGTTTATATGTAGTATTAAAAAAAATATAATGCATTATATACTGAAAAAAAATGATTCCTTATTTACTAATTAAAAAAAATTATGCAAGTATTTAATTGAAAAAAAAGAGAATTATCGTTTAATTTTTTAGCAACGGTAGTACATCAGATATGTAAAGAAATTTTTTTTTTTTTTTTGTAAAATTCAAAAAAAAGCAATAATCCAGAATTGATTTTATTATTCATATTGCAGTCAAAATGCTGTAGGGATAAACTATATCATATAGTCCATATTATTTCAAATATACTATGCAGCTTTGATTATATACTATATTGCTTATCTAAGAGACTATTGAATCATACAACGATAACTTCCAGAGCTAAAGAAAAGTTTTGAATCATCATCCGAATCATCAATTTCTACTTCATCACTATCGTAATCAATCTCGTCCTCATAGCTATTGTCAAACATCAAACTTTTGTACGATTGTTCCACCTGCGGATATTCCTTAATTAATTTTTGTCGTAAAATTTTCCATCTACAATATAATCAACCGTGATTAATAAACGAATTAAGTGATTTTAGATAATGTAATAAAAAGTAAATATGTAAGGCTATGTAAGACTATTAAGACTATTAAGACTATTAAGACGATTAAGTATAAATTAAAACCTACCCTCGTTCGCTAAATGGACGTTCATATGTATAACATTTGCACAAGCTTGGACACCTCTCTAGAAGATATCTTTGATATTTCACCAACCCATTCTCGTCTATTTCTTCACACATTAAATCCAATTTATCGCTAATACCTTGAATCCTCTGAGATCTTTGATTTTCTCTGCTTAAAACATCTTCACGTCGTCGTTCAGCAATTTCACGTTGAAGGATATTATAAAGTTGATATTGCTCATAAATCCATTCATTTTGATCCTTAACATCAACGTTACAAAGTTCTGCATATTTTGATTCTACTTGATCACGCCAGAAACGATTACTTAAACTTCCATTTTGGAGAAATGGTCTTTGTAGAATCAATTTGATCCTATTATCTATACCTTCACTGTATAATCAAAAATTCCTTTAAAGAATGTAAAAAAAAAAAAACAAAAAAAACATATATATATATATATATATAAATCAAAATTCACTTACAGGATTGTATTTTCCTTAAAACATTTAATACATGATCTTACTCTTCTTTCCCAATATATTCTTGTAACGCGAGTTTTAGAACCACAAAAATAACATTTATTCTCGATTAAAAACCTAATATACTCTCGTTCATTCATTCCCTCAGGTGGATCCATTTCACGAAACGGCATAAAAGTTAATCTTGATTGACGCCATATTTCTTGAATAGTTTTAGACTCTCCACAACATAAATCATTGTAAAAAGTTTTACATACTAAAGAAAGAGATAGTAAGTCAACCGGTGTAAGAGATTTACAGATTTCAAGAAATGTTTCTAATGGAAGTCGTATAAGACTTGATGATGTATGAGTCGAAGAGGTAGCTGGTTTACTAGAAGATTTGTTTGATTTTTTGCGTTTTGTATTGCCTTTCATTTTTTTGGATTTTTGCATGAATTAAAATCGTCACACAAAAAAAAAAAAGAAATAAAAAACTAATTTACAATAAAATTAGTTTTTGTAAAATCGAAAAATATACTTTTAAATGTTCATAGTTTATCAAAGTTTATAGACCTAAAAAAGTTGTCAATCGATATTCCTTAAACTTTAATACTGTAATAATAGGAAAATTTATAATTACTTGTCAAGTAATTAACTCAAACAATTATGAAAAAAAAACAATGCTTTCGGGAAGAAAAGATCAAACAGTACAGCAGTACGACAGTAGATGATCATCCCTTTATACCTATTTATGTAACACAAATTACCTGATTTGAACGATTCAATAACACGGGTGATTTTATATAAATACATGTATACTATAGAAATTAACGCGTAATTACTGAATTAACTCATCTGTACGACTTGTCAGATCTGACGTACCGGTATTAAAATTTTTATGTAGAATAGATTTTGAATTTTCGTTATAATATTTCCTATTTATGATAAGTACGATTTTTTGTGTCAACTACTTTTTGTTATAGTAAAGTTACTGGGCTAAGAAAATAAAAGGACCTTTATTTTTATGGCCCATATCGAAAGAATACTGTACTATATTTACTATATCAAGTTGAAATTTAATTATGCGAAGTGATAGGATATCACGTGATAGAAAGGAGAGCAAGCACATGACCTTTCATCTCCGTAATGACTTAATAGGCAAGGCTAAAGACATGTGAAAATCAGAAAACGGCGCAACGACGATCAAAGACAAATAAGGTGCTACAATGGGAATAGCGGAGGTACGACGAATCCAAGTCCACAATTGCTTGAACAGAAAATTCGCGCAATTTCGCAGCATAGTCTCGAAGACCAATTCAAATGTACTTGAACCACCTGGAAGACTTAAATCAGTCATAGAGATCTGACCCACGAATGCATGGACATTAAGTCAACGTGGTCCAACGCAACGGATGACGAATTTAAGTAATAATTAAAATAATAATAATATTATTATTGTTTTTTTTCGAGTTATATGATATATAGGCATTAAGCCAGCGTGACGCAAATTCACGTACGATGAATAATTATGAAGAATCGACCTGCAAATTTAAAAGAATCATTGGAAATCAAAATCACCTCAATTAATTCCGAATAATCGAAATGATTGAGTGGCATCCCAACTACCAGCAAGTTACAATGAGAGGACTGCTTGAGAATAACCTAAGTCGAAACGGTACAACATATCACATAATGAATAAATAAAGAATTGCCTGCAGATCTAAATGATCTAGAAATCGAATCAAGTAACTCTTTCGCACTAAGCCAATATATCGGAACTTATTGCATGGTGAATAGATATGACAAATCTTGGCGATTGATAAATCACTAGAAGCTGAACCAAGGAAGGATGTGGTTTGTTTAAGCCAATGTGGGGACAAGACGAATAGATGGGACGAATCCCTCACAGATCAAAATATATAATTAGAAATTGAATCAAAGAATGCACTACCATTAAGTCATCGTGGTGAAACTTATCGCATGTGACAAATCACTTGCAGTTTAAATAAATCTTTAGTTGGACCTAATGCTACATCTAGGGCATTGGGAGCTTGTGAAGAAACTTATCACATGATGAATAAATATAAAGCTTACATGCAGATTTCAATAAATCACTAGAAATCAAGTCAGACAAGGCAGGTGCATTAAGTCAACACAGTCAACTGATAAAATGATGAATAGATATCGAATCTCTTGCAATAAATAGTCGTGGAGTAACTTATCGCTTATAAATATGCACAAATAATAATGCAAAATCAAATGAATCACTGAAATAAAAAAAAAAAAATCAAATGATACACAGACATTGACCTATATTAATCATTAAAAATCAATCTAAATGATACGATAGCATTAAGTTAACGTAGTGCTGTTTATTTTATGATGAAGAATCGTTTACAGACTTAGGCAAATTAGTAAGCATTAAGTTGGACATGAATGTCAAAACAGTGTGTCAGCAAACCAAAATACATGTGCATTAGAATTCGTGGAGCAACTGGTTGCAAGATAAAGCTACATGAAGAATCACTTTTAGATTTACATAAATTACTAGAAATCAACCAAATGAAGCAAGACAGTGAGCCAACGAGTTGCTTCTGATTGTATGAGGATAAATATAAAGAATCACCTGTTGATTTAAATAAATCAACAGAAATCAAGTCATATTATGCAGAAACATTAAATCAGTGTGGTGAAACTTATCCCTTAATATGTAGACTAATACAGGCAAATTTGCCTGCTTTTTTTAGCTCTGATCTTTTTTTTTAAAATGCTAATATATCTAAATAAAACTTTGTACAATTATATTTGAAAATAAAGATTATTTTTTTGTAAAATTAATTTTTGTAGTTTAAGAAAAAGTTTAGATTGCTTATAGGCTAAAAATAGACAAGTTTAAAAAAAACTTTTAATCAAAAAAATATTTATAAATTCTTGATAAACTTTTTAAATATTAATTTTAATATATAGTTCTTAAAACAATATTATAGTTTATTTAAAGGATTATAACTTTTATTATTATACTTTTAGTGATTTACTAATAAAAATCAAAACTTTACTTAGAAGCAAAAAAATTTTTATAGATGAAAAAACATATAAAATTTAAAAAAATCCAAATAAAATTATATAGTAAAAAGTTCAATACAAAAACTTTAAACTTTTATTATATAATAATTTTAAAAAATTTTTTTAATAAAGTTAATAAAACAAATCTAAATTTAAATATTTTAATTTATTTTTTTTTATTAATATAATGTCATAGTAGAAACTTTATTATAATAAACCTATATTAATCCAAAGATTAATAATCTTCTTGTTACTAAAAAGACTGGGTAAGGGGACAGATAAGTCAACTGACCAGGCTGCCAAATTTCTTTAACTCAGTACTAGCTAATAATAAGAAGATATATGGTTTTAAAAAAAAATTTTCTATAGTAAAGATTTCTAACTACATTTGTGCTATAGAGTACCTAGTGTGATATTACATTTTCTATTCTCTAATTAATACTATTATTGATTTAAATGAATAAAGTAATTCTAGCTAGAATAGTTTAGAGAAAACTTTAAGATATTAATTATAACATTATAGAAAGCATGTTGTTAGAGAAAAGCCTTGTAAGTACTATTTTTTAATGGCATCACATGGATCTATTGGTTGTAGATGAGGTCTATGAAGAATTGTTTGGTTAGTGAGTAAAGGTGTAGAGAATTTAGTACACTTGGTTTTGGGTATAATGTTTTGGGCTATTTCCCATTGGTGTTGAAAAGAGTTGCATTTAGACTTTATATTATAGTAGAAGATTGTTAGAAAGATTGATAAGTATAGGTTCTGTTTGTTTTTTAATTAGAGTTTTAGTATTTTGATATATTGTTTTAAAATATATTTCAAGAATAGTAGAAAGTGTTGTATTGTATGTTGGAAGAGTTGTTTGTTAGTAACAAAAGAGTGTTAAGAAGTGTAATAGGTTAGATAGATATAATTTGGAGTTGTTGAAGTTATTAGTGATTATATTAATAAGTGATTATTGGATATTTTTAGTATTTTTGGGGCACAGAAGTATATGAAGAGGGCTTTCAGTTATGAGCATTTATAACATTTATTTGTTGTATATAGATTTGAATAGCGAATATTGAGATTTTGCAATATTGGAAAATTATTTGTTAGGGTTTTAATGTAAAAAGAATATTTGTAAAAGCTATATTCTAGAAAATTAAGTAATTTAAAAGTTAAATTCCAATTTATATCTAATGTGTAGTTGTTAAAAAGTTTGAGAGATGACCAATATATAAGTTTTTGGATTGTAATAATGTTTTTGATAAAAGAATATACTTTAAATATAATAATATAATTGTTCTAAGAGAAGTAAATAGAAAGGTTAAAGTATGTATAAGAGATTGTTTAAAAAGGTTTGGTAGTGCCTTGTTTGGCCAATAGATCAGCTTGATTGTAAAGAGAATTGGTTAAGTGTGATTTGACTTTAATAAAATTAATAAAAATATTTTTAGTAGATTTGATTGAGCTATTATAGAGATTATATCTTAGTTTTTAATTTGAATAAGTTTTGAGGTAGAAAAGTTAAATAAGGTTTTAATTGCTATCAAGCTATCTGTAAGATAATAATTGTTGAATTGATTGGAATGATGAGTAGAAAAAGAATAATTGCTATTAGCTCAGTGTGAGAAAAGTTGAATAAAGAAGTAATTGCTACATTGAACTTAATAGATGAGTTATTTTTGCAAATCCATCTTATGCTAGTTTGTATGTTTGTAGTTTGAAGATTTTGAGTAGAGGTATCTGTGGCAAATTGAAGATTGGTTGAATTTAGATCTAATATGTTTTTATATATTTGGATAAGTTGGTTTTGATAGTAGAAAGATTCAATAATATAATGTATTAAATATATTTCATGAGAAAGAATATTAATTTGTAGTTGACAAGAAGGAGAAATTAAAGTTGGTTTGAGATTATTAGCAATGTTAATAATGGCAATGATTTTTCTGTAGTCAATTTGTAATAAAGAATTTTTAAACTTAATTTGTTTATATAGGAGGTTTATAGGCTTAGAGTTTGGTAATAGGTTGACAAATTCTATTAAGCTTGTTTGGTCTTCAGTAGTTCTGCTAATTGATAGATTTTATAACTTAAGGTTTCTTGATATTTGTTATAATATAAAAAAGTAATATCTTGATTGTTAGAAAGAAGTTGAATTGAAATTTTGAAGTCTGCAGAAGGTATTAGGTCAGTTATATTAATAAAACTATTTATTAAAAGTAGTTGAAGTTGGGGCTATATAACCTAAAGAGAATTGGTTTGTGTTATTTGTAAAAGGCAAATAAACTATAAAGGTTAAAAATCTCTAGTTGCTTTGTTTGTGTGAAGATAAATATTGTTTTAAGGAAGCAAAAAGCTGTTGTTTGCTATTATAATTTGTTCTATA